ACACTGAGGAACATAAACGTAAAAGCCCCGCAATTCCCATGCTTGCAGTTTTTTCCAAGAAAGGGCCCCGGGGCCACAAACCCCGGTCGAAAGCACCAGCAATTTCCCAATGCTCAAACACCCACTCCCCGGAAAACATTCCCGTGGGCTGGTGGGCCCCTTAAAGGAGAGGTTTAAACCCCAAAAATCAGAAGAAGAGTAACCTTTCCTGGAGCCATATTGAAAGGTCACAAAGAAATGAGTGAAAAGGTCAAAAAAACCCATATTCTTTAGATTATTGTCCCCAAGGATCTTCCAGGATTTAAAAAGGGGTGACACTGCCAACAGTTTTCTGGGTTTCTGCTTGGCCCTGCAAAGAGTACGTAACCTTTATTGGGGGGCAAAGCAAAACACTCAATGAAATGCTATCCCCCTCCCCGAAACCCCCCCAATTTAGGTCCCAAAAAGGGTTTGAAAGAGGGAACCCCCCTTCCCTTTAATCATACCCCCGGTTTTCCCGCCAATGAGAAAATATTTTGGGGAATCGCAGAGGGGTTTTTTGGGTACCACTCAGCTGTCTGCCCCTTTTCATTCCCATTCCCAGAGGTGGTTGAAGCACGGTCCTCTCTATGGCTTCCTTTTCTCGCCCTTTCTTAAACCCTTTGGAGCACTAATACCTAATTTTGTCACATTGTAAAATAGTGTACCCTAATTCTGTTCTAAAACCCGGTGAAAAGGGTAATACAAGTCAAAAGTTTTTTTTTGTTTTTATTTTGCTTCCCCTTTTCAACCCAGGATAACAGGCCTTTGGACTCCTGGGGTTTTAATAAATTTCTCCCCTTCTTTTTGTGGCCCGGGGCTAATTTGCCTCTTTTCCCCCGAGAAGGCCATTTACCACTGTAAACCCTTTTCCCGTGCTGCAAAATCCAAATTAGAGGGGCTTTTAAATGGTCTGCGCATCTCAGCAATCTTGGGCTCAACTTGTCTGGGCCCCACACCTTTTCATGGTCCAAATAATTTTTAAAAAAAAGAGGGCCCCCCTCCTGCTTTTTTGCCACCACTGGGCAGTTTTTTTCCCGTTCTTTTTAGCTATCCAAGGAGGGCCCCCTTTCTGGATCAGGAATCCCTTTCCTCCCCCCTCTCTCTCTCCCCTTTCCCCTTCCCCCCTCTCTCTCCCCCCATGTCCTCCCCTCCCTCTCTCCCCAACTCTACAAAAAAGGCACCCAGTAAATTAAACCCCGCTCCCCCCTAGATAATTACATAATTTAAAACCCCAAAATTACCACCATTTTTTTCTCCTCACTGTTTATTTTCCCCCAGTTTCTTCCATCTTAAAGCCTTCCCTTTCCTTTTAAACTTTTTTTAATTTTTTTTTGGGTATATTTTAACGGGGTTTTTGGGATATTCTTAATGTTTAGTTTTGGTATATTCTTAATGTGAGTTTTTTGTATATTCTTAATGTGGGTTTTTGGGATAAACCCCTTTAATTATTTTGGGAAATTTTTAAAAGTTTTGGAATTTTAAATGGGTTTTGTTGATTTGGGTTTTTTTAGTTATGTCCCTTTTGTAAAAAATTATTTTAGTAAGAATTATGCAAAGAATGTATGTACTGGTATTTTGGGTTGTATTGGGGGTAATTAAAATGACTTTCACAAGGGGGTTTGGGCCCCCCCCATTCTTTCCCCTCTCTAAATTTCATAAATTTTGGGAAAATTTTCCTTTTAAAATTTCAGAAGGGGAAAAGGGGCTTTCCCCCCCTTCCCCCAATCCTTCCCCTCCCCCCCCCTCGCCAAACCCGCAGGGGGGGAGACGAAATTGAAACCCCCTGTAATCAAAGGCGCCCCCCCCCTTCAACCCCCGCAAGAGTCCACCTTACCTGGGGGCACCCGTACCGGGGCCCCCCTGTACCTGGGGGCCAACCCCGTACCTGGGGTCCACCTGTCCTGGGGTTCCCCCTGTCCTTTGGGGCCAGCCCGGGGGGCCCCTGATTTAGGGGTTCATTTTCCCGGGGTCCAAACCCTTCCTGGGTTTCCCCCTGTTTCCGGGGTTCCCCCCTTCTTGGGGGAACCCTTAAAAAACCGGAGGCAAAAGGGGTTCCTTTTTGGGGATCCCCAGGGTCCCCCCCACCCTTAGTTCCCGCGGCTAAAAAAAAACCACACATTTTTGGGGTTTTTTACCGGGCGGGTGAAAAGGGGTTTATTGGGGTTTTTTTTATACCGAGGGGGGATTTTTTAAAAACCCTAAAAAGGGAATCCTGGGTAAAAAATAAACACACGGTTTTCAACCAAGGGCCCGGGGCGCGGGAGGATTTAAGGGTTAAAATTTTAAAAGTTGGGGCGTTTTTAGGGTAATTTAAAAATTTAAAAAAAAAAAGGTTTTTGTGGGGAAATAAAACAGGGGTTTTCAATACCAACCGGGAGGAAAATTAGGATACTGGGGGGTTAAAAATTTAATTGTTTAACGTTTTTCCCAACCAAACCCCGCAAAAAAAAAAAACAAACATTTAGTTTTTTTAAAGGAATTTTTGTAACCGGGGCCCTTAATTTTTTAAAAATAATTTTAAATTTTTTTAAAACAAAAAACCTTTTAAAAAAAAAACGTTTTTTCAAGGCGATTGGTTTTTTCCCGAAGCTCCAGGGGGAAACCGTTGAAATCTGCACGCATGTCAGATTGGTCCCAAAAAAACAAAATTGTGGACATAGCACATGAAATGACACACCCAAACACCCCTAAAAAAACACCAGGAGCTGTGACCACCACCCCTGCAACCCCCACCTTTGGGATAAAAAACCCACCACACACCAACCCCCACCACAAACCCCAAAAGCCCCCCAAAATTAAGGGGGAAATTAACGTGACGCCCCTGAAGGGCAAGAGGGTTAGGGAAAATGGTAAAAGACATATAAAACTACGCGCGGGAATAAACAAGGTTGGGACAGGAAAAGAAAGTTTCCCCGAGATGGGACAACCGGGAAAAAAGAAAGGGCACAAATGGAAAATTTGAAGACCCTTTTTTTTGAGTCCAAGGGACTGTTTGGAAATATTTCTTCAGGCATAGAGTTTTCAGGAAGTGGAATAGTCCCCGGCAAGTGTTTTTAAGTTTAAAGGGAGGAACCAACCTAGTTTTAAAAACGGAAAGGGAAAATTTTAAAAATCATGGAGCAGGGAGAGAGGACCTAGTACAATCGGAAGAGATGGGGCCCAAAGGGGCTAAAGAATTGACCCCTGCAAAACCCCAAAAAAAGGGGGGAGTAAAAACACAAACACAAAACAAGAAGGGGGAATGTTTTTTGAGTCACCCGTACTAACTGGGGCACCGGGAAGTCACCAGTACTAACCCGGTCACCCCGGAAAATCACCAGTACTAACTGGTCACCGGAAGTCACCCCGAACTAATGGGCACCGGGGAAATCACCAGTAAATAAATGGTCACCGGGAAGTCACCAGTACTAATTTGGCCCACCGTGAATCCCCATACTAAACTGGTCACCGGGGAAAATTTACCCATATAACTTTGGGCAAAGGGGAAGTCTCCAGTACTAACTGGGCCCCGGGGGGAAAAGGGCCCCAAGGGCACTTGGGAAGGAAAGTAATACCAATTCACCGGGGGGGTAAACAAATGGTAGGGGGGGGAAATTCCCCTACTCTGGTTTACCGGTTTAAATAGCCAGTATAATGGCAGGGGGTTTAAATAAATTTTTAAAACCCGGGGAAATCCGTGGTTTTAAGGTGGGAATTGGGGGGTTTTCCCGGGGGGTAAAAAATGGTGTTGTGGTTTTGGGGGTTTATGGTTTAAATGGGGGTGATTTTTAGTGGTGGGCCCGTATGCTGGTAGGGTGGTTTTAGTGGTGATGGTGGGTGTTTGATAATGCAGTGGGTGGGGTTGGGGTTGGGGTAAGACCATTGCAATTAAAAATTAAGGGACCCTTTTTTTCTAAACCCTTTCGCCCTTACTGGTAAGGCGAAAAATTTTCAAAACCCGGGGAAACCCCTATTCAATTGGGGCATTTCCCAACAACCCGTGGAAATTTTTCCCCCTTAAAAAAACCTTTGGTTTTTAAGGGAAGTGGAATTTTTAATTCCTGGTTAAAAATTTTGGGGGTTTATCCCGGGGAAGTGGGGTTTTATCCCGGGCCCTGGGATTTAATTTGAGTGGAAAATTTTAGAATGATGGGAATTTTATGGGGTGAGGTTATCCCGTAAGTTCAATCTATTGAGGGGGTTTATTATGTAGTTTCATTTTTTGGGGGTGGAAGGGGAGTTAACATAGAAAAAGTGGAATTTTATACTTAAAATTTAACCTTTTTCCTTTCCCCTTTTATCACTGTACCGAACGAAACCTTTTTCACGTAACCCGTGACGACCCTATCACTGTAAAACCCTGACGACCTTTTAAACACTGTACCGTGACAAATTTTTATCACTGAACCGTGACGAAACCCTTTTAATCACTGTCCGTACAAACCCTTTTATCACGAAAACCCTGACGACCTTCTATCCCCTGAAAACCGTGACGGGGCCCTTTTATCCCCCTAAAAACCCATAAAAGACCCTTCCCCAACACGTCCGTGACGACCTTCTATCATGGTTTTTTGTGACGACCTTCTTCACTTACCCCCTGACGACCTTTATCACTGTAAACCCTGAAAGACCTTTTTATCACTGACCCTGACGACCCTATCACTGAGGCCGTGCGACCCCCCTTTTTTCACGTTTCCGTTTACGACCTTCTATCACTGTACCGTGACAACCTTTTTTCACTTACCGTGACAACCTTTTAAACACGTACCGTGACGACCTTTTATCACTGTACCGGACGACCTTTCTATCACTTTAAACCCTGAACAAACCCTTTTACCCCTGAAACCCGGGCACCTTCTTCACGTACCCCTGACGACCCTTTTTTCACTGTTTCCGTGACCAAACCCTTTTATCCCCCTGGGCCGTGACGACCTACCCCCTGTACCGGCCCACCCCTTTTTTTTCAAATGTAACCCCTGACAAATTTTTCCATCATGTACCGTGACAAAACCTTTTATCACTGTAAACCGTGACGCCCTTCTATCACTGTTAAAAATGACCGGCCTTCTATCACGTTCCGGAGACCTTTTATGACCGTCCCCTGACGACCTTCCATCACTGTTCCGGGACGACCTTCTATCACTGTACCGTGACGACCTTCTATCACTGTACCGTGACGACCTTCTATCACTGTACCGTGACGACCTTCTATCACTGCACCGTGACGACCTTCTATCACTGTACCGTGACGACCTTCTATCACTGTACCGTGACAACCTTCTATCACTGTACCGTGACGACCTTCTATCACTGTACCGTGACGACCTTCTATCACTGTACCGTGACAACCTTCTATCACTGTACCGTGACGACCTATCACTGTACCGTGACAATCTTCTATCACTGTACCGTGACAACCTTCTATCACTGTACCGTGACAACCTTCTATCACTGTACCGTGACAACCTTCTATCACTGTACCGTGACGACCTTCTATCACTGTACCGTGACGACCTTCTATCACTGTACCGTGACAACCTTCTATCACTGTACCGTGACGACCTTCTATCACTGTACCGTGACGACCTTCTATCACTGTACCGTGACGACCTTCTATCACTGTACCGTGACGACCTTCTATCACTGTTCCGTGACGACCTTCTATCACTGTTCCGTGACGACCTTCTATCACTGTTCGTGACGAACCTTCTATCACTGAAACCGTGACGACCTTCTATCACTGTACCGTGACGACCTTCTATCACTCCACCGTGACGACCTTCTATCACTGTACCGTGACGACCTTCTATCACTGTACCGTGACAACCTTCTATCACTGTACCGTGACAACCTTCTATCACTGTACCGTGACGACCTTCTATCACTGTACCGTGACGACCTTCTATCACTGTACCGTGACAACCTTCTATCACTGTACCGTGACGACCTTCTATCACTGTACCGTGACGACCTTCTATCACTGTACCGTGACAACCTTCTATCACTGTACCGTGACGACCTTCCATCACTGTACCGTGACGACCTTCTATCACTGTACCGTGACAACCTTCTATCACTGTACCGTGACAACCTTCTATCACTGTACCGTGACGACCTTCTATCACTGTTCCGTGACGACCTTCTATCACTGTACCGTGACGACCTTCTATCACTGTACCGTGACGACCTTCCATCACTGTACCGTGACGACCTTCTATCACTGTTCCGTGACGACCTTCTATCACTGTACCGTGACGACCTTCTATCACTGTACCGTGACGACCTTCTATCACTGTACCGTGACGACCTTCCATCACTGTACCGTGACGACCTTCTATCACTGTACCGTGACGACCTTCTATCACTGTACCGTGACGACCTTCCATCACTGTACCGTGACGACCTTCTATCACTGTACCGTGACAACACTGCCTCACTGATGCACTAATTATTACGATTGACTATTATGAAAAAAAAGTAAGACATGCTCGTACGTACGCCCGCCCAGTACGTGGGCGTGGACGTGGACGTGGACATAGGTTCGTGCTGTACTACGGACGTATAGCTACTATGTCATCCATTGTATTAGTGTGGTAACTGTCCATGGATGATATTATGGAGGAACATCCGCTATGGTAATACTGGCGAGAGATGAAATCCCAGAGAGGGTGACACGGACGGACAGTGACACGGACGCGCACTGTCACGGACGGACAGTAATAATGATATAAAGAGGGTGAGTCAGGTACATATTATAATCAACGCATTTTTTTTAATAACAAACGAGCCAGCGTAAAAAAAACAGAAATCAGAGTTAGCAGCAAGAGAGATATATATATATATATAAAGAGAGCAAGCGCGTATACGTACGCAGAGTTGGGCGGGTATAATGACTACGCAGTGTTACGCAGGCGGTGAGGTGGCCAGACCTTCGCTATGTTTACATACTGATACATGTAAGGTAATCCAGAATTTTGTCTCTCTCCCTCTGTTTTTTCTCCTCTCATTTACACAATTCTTCGTTGATATCCTCCTAAATACTTTATTTCTCCCGTGTGTGGAATGGGCCACCGTCAGAGGACGTAACTCTGCTGGAGTTTCTATATGGGAATTACGACTATCAGCTGTGACGATGTCCTCATTACTCAAATCTGTCAGCTCAAGCCGACAGATTTCAACACTACGTCTAATTCATCCTGTGTGATGTAATGTGACAGGACAACGCAGACAGCTTCTGCTCCCGCTATGCAACTGTCGTATAGAATAGGATCGTAGCACATCGATAATGTATCGAAATTTGTGAAAAAATCTTTCGCCACTAAAGCTGTGAGAAGGTCAGACCTTCGCTACACTCTCTACACACAATCTACGAGGCAGTGGTAGCTAGGATTTTCTCCACTGTAGAATATAACGTTGGTATGTCTGTGTCTAGCATTAGAAATCATATCAGGAGAGAAGTGAATAATGAAAGTGAATGTTATAGGAATGCAGTTAGAAGCCTGGAGGTTACCTGGAGGTTATTCCGGGGATCAACGCCCCCGCGGCCCGGTCCATGACCAGGCCTCCCGATGGATCAGGGCCTGATCAACTAGGCTGTTACTGCTGGCCGCACGCAGTCCAACGTACGAGCCACAGCCCGGCTGATCCGGCACTGATTTTAGGTATCTGTCCAGCTCTCTCTTGAAGGCAGCCAGGGGTTTATTGGCAATTCCCTTAATGCTTGATGGGGGCTGTTGAACAGTCTTGGGCCCCGGACACTTATGGTGTTTTCCCTTAGTGTACCAATGGCGCTCCTACTTTTAATTAGGGGCATTTTGCATCGCCTGCCCAGTCTTTTACTTTCATAGGAAGTGATTTCTGTGTGCAGATTTGGGACCATTCCTTCCAGGATTTTCCAACATGAACATAGATACGTTTACGGAGCATCCTGCAATGTAAACAGGCTGACTGATGTTGTAATGCCATGTTTAGGTTACTTTACAAGTACAGTGGAACCTCAAAAATCGAACTTTTTTCGGTCCAGAAGGCTGTTCGAGTGCCTTTACCGAATGAATTTATTTCCATCAGGAATAATGTAAATTAGATTAGTCCATTTCAGACCCTCAAAAATACACTTATAAAAGCACTTACAAAAATACACTTACATAACTGGTTGTGTTGGGAGCAGTTCGAGTTTTGAGGTTTCACTATTTCTTTCAGTTTGGGAGATATTTGTCCATCGTTACCATGCCTAACCCTTCTAGGGCAGGGTAGGTGCCTGAGCCCGAGCCTTTAGCTCATAAGACTGTCATTCCCATTAGCCCCCTTGTGGCGGGGATGGCAGACCAGAGAGGCCTAGCTTGTGGCTAGGCCTGGGGACAGTTGGTCCCAAAGATGAGGAGGTACTTGTGCCTCCTCCCATGGGAGACTTAGGTCTCAGACACTCCCTCAACAGGGAGCCAAGGCCGGGCCACCACTTGGAAAAGGCCCGGGCCGGGAGAATACCGGCGAATCTTTAATAATAATATTAATAAGACACTTGATAATCAAACCAAATATAAACTAAACGGTCAGCCTTATGGTCACATTCTTGCTTAACCGTCCACTTACTGAGGAGTACAGTGACGGCGTAGCAATCTCTGTAACATGTCATGGTATCCTATTAGGGAAAATAATATTAGCGATAGTAAGCAAATTTCATAAATTTGCTTACAACGGATAAAGAAATTTGAAATATAGCATTTAGTGTACTGGTAAACTCTGTTGTGGCCTAGTTCCTGGGCCACAACAGACACACTACACACAAGCTGTCAGCTCCCACACCACACACACACAAGCTGTCAGCTCCCACACCACACACACAAGCTGTCAGCTCCCACACCACACACACAAGCTGTCAGTTCCCACACCACACACACAAGCTGTCAGCTCCCACACCACACACACAAGCTGTCAGCTCCCACACCACACACACAAGCTGTCAGCTCCCACACCACACACACAAGCTGTCAGCTCCCACACCACACACACAAGCTGTCAGCTCTCACAATACACACACTACACACAAGCTGTCAGTAGTAGTAGTAATAGTAGCAGTAATAGTATTAGTAGCAGTAATAGTATCAGTAGTAGTAGTATTATTAGCAGTAGTAGTACTAATAGTAGCAGCAGTAATAGTAGTAATAGTAGCAGTAGTAGTAATAGTAGCAGAAGTAGTAATAGTAGCAGCAGTAGAAATAGTAGTAGTAATAGCAGTAGTAATAGTAGTAGTAATAGCAGTAGTAGTAACAGTAGTAGTAGTAACAGTAGTAGTAGTAATAGTAGCAGTAGTAATAGTAGCAGTGGTAGTAGTAATAGTAGCATTAGTAGTAACAGTAGTAGTAACAGTAGTAGTAGTAGTAATAGCAGTAGTAGTAACAGTAGTAGAAGTAGTAGTAATAGCAGCAGCAGCAGCAGCAGCAGCAGCAGCAGCAGCAGTAGTAGTAGTAGTAGTAGTAGCAGAAGTTACAAGAACTTACATTTCGAAACAACAAGTCACCATCACCGTGACCAACAACAAATCTGAAAATAAAATAATAATAATAATAATAATACTAATAATAATAATAATAATAATAATAATAATTACCGAGAAACAGAACATTAAAAAAACGTTCTTGGGACAAGTAGCAGCCGTTCGCGTAAACGTCAAGGTCAACGCAGGCGGATTCATGAAAAATGTGACTCAGAAACATCAACATTACTGGTGGCCGGCGGCGTCCTCTCCCACGGCCGCCTCGGGACTTTATTCCCGCTAACTCATGGGCAAAAAAAAAAAAAGGTATCTGGACCAGGAAACAAAGATGAGGAAAAAGAACCCTGCTATTTTCTGCCAGGTTGAGTGCTCTACCAGTCCCCAGGGAGGGGGAAGGGGGAGGGAGGGGGAAGGGGAGGGAGGGGGAAGGGGGAGGAGGGGAAGGGGGAGGGAGGGGAAGGGGGAGGGAGGGGGTAGAGGATGGTGTATGTGCGTTGAATAAGATATTTTTTTTTTCAAGGATGCTATGGATAGACAGTGTGTTGTTATGGAGGGGGTGTAGTAGTAGTGGTAGTGGTGGTGGTGGTGGTGGTGGTGGTTGTCGTGGTAGCAGTGGTGGTGGTAGTGGTGGAGGTGGTGGCGGTGGTGGTGATAGTGGTAGCGGTAGATGTGGTTGTGGTGGTCTACTTATCTGGAGTCTACTTGGAGGGTATTCCGGGGATCAACGCCCCCGCGGCCCGGTCCACGTCCAGGCCTCCTGATGCATCAGTGCCTGATCAACGAGGCTGTTACTGCTGGCCGCACGTAGTCCAACGTACGAACCACAGCCCGGCTGATCCAGCACTGACTTTAGGTATCTGTCCAGCTCCCTCTTGAAGACAACCAGGGGTACTATTGGTAATTCCTCTTATGGCTGGCGAGAGGCGGTTAAACAGTCTTGGACCCCGGACACTTAGTGTTTTCTCTTAGTGTACTAATGGCACCCTTACTTTTCACTGAGGGTATGTTGCATCGCCTGCCAAGTCTTTCGTAGGGAGTGATTTGTGTGTGCAGATTAGGGGCCAGTCCCTTCAGGATCTTCCAGGTGTAGATTACGATGTATCTCTCTCGCCTGCGCTCCAGCGAGTACAAGTTAAGTGCTTGACTCAAGAAATCGTAATGACACGATTGCAGTCGTTCCCAGTAGTTAAGGTGTTTGATGGAACTTATACGTGCAGTAAAGGTTCTCTGTACATTCTCTAGATCTGCAATTTCACCTGCCTTGAATGGAGATGTTGATGTGCAGCAGTTTTCCAGCCTAGAGAGAACAAGTGATTTAAAAAGGATCATTAGTGGTTTTTCATCTCTTGTCTTGAATGTTCTTATTATCCATCCTATCATTTCCTCACAGATGTTATAGTGGCACTGTTGTGATTCTTGAAAGTGAGATCCTCAGACATTATCACTCCCAGGTCCTTCACATTACTTTTCCGCTCTACTGTGTGATTGGAGTTTGTAGTATACTCAGTCCTAGTTATTATTTCCTCCAGTTTTCCATAACGGAGTAGTTGGAATTTGTCTTCATTGAATGTCATATTGTTCTCCGTTGCCCACTGGAAAACTTGGTTTGGTGGTGGTAGTTGTGGTGGTTGTAGTGGTGGTGGTTGCGTTAGTAGTGGTGATTGTGGTGGTAGTAGTGGTGATTGTAGCAGTGGTTGTAGCAGTGGATGCAGTAGTGGTGGTGGTAGCGGTGACTGTAGTGGTAACTGTGGCAGCACTGGTGGTAGTAGTTGTGGTAGTAGTGGTAGTAGTGAGCCACACACAACACCAGGTGACGTCAGAGCAACTACCACAGTCACCTGGGCAGGCAGGTTAAGCACCTTTCTTACGCTCATTAATTACTCTGAAATTGGC